TAAACCACCAGGTAAAGTTTAAGAGCCTGGGCTGCGTGGACAAGTGTAGCTCTGGATAATGGCTCCATCACATTGGGCAAGTCGCTGTCAGAATCTCGGTCTACTTTGCGGCCTGAGAAGTAGAACAGCCCCCTGCACGTTGGAGGGTGACGCGGGCTTAGGCAGTGTAGGGCATAGCAGGTGCCTGGCTTCAAACCCGTCAGCTGCTCTTATTCACGTCTGGGAAGCAGGAAAGGGCTCCTTCCGAAGCTGAACTGGGAATAGTAAATGCTCAAAAGCAGCTCCTCCAACTGAGGAAGAAATAACAGCCATGCAAGTAATAAACAAAACTGAAGCTTCCTCCTAGCTGTTTGGGAGATCCAGAGATCAGCTTTCTCTGGAGTGTGTGTGTGTGTGTCTGTGTTTTCCATATGCAACTGTGGCTACTGCCGAATGTACTTAAGACCGATAGAAGCTGTTCAGCATTTTACCCCTCTGTTTAAAAAATTGTGCAAAGAAGCCGTTCAGCATTTTACCCCTCTGTTTAAAAAATTGTGCAAAGAAAGCCCCAGAGTAAGCAAGTTTGAGTCTGTATCTCCAGTGCAATGAAAGATTGGCATGGAAAGCAACATTTCATTACAGGTGTGCTAAAATAATTTCCTCTCCAGGGTAAGTGGACACACACAAGGATTTGCACTCGAGGAGTTTAAAGCCTGTGCATGAGGAGGCCCTTGGCCTCCTATTCCCTGCTGGTGTCTGAGGCCCAGGTCATCAGGCCTTGGCCAGGTGGGTGGACAGGGGGAACAGCTCCCAGACTGCCTTGGCTGGGGAGGGTGCCCCCGGGGAGCCCCTCGGCCTGCTGAACTTCCTCCAGGGCAGATGGTACCACGGTGAAGATGAGCTCCCTACCTCCTGCTGAATGTGAGCGTCAGCAGGATTCCGTTCTTTTTTATTGCCTTCGAGACACATGCTGACTTGGTCAAAATCGCTTCGGCAAGATGTGACTGATGATGTATGGAATGAAAACTCCTTGCCCGGTGCTGGGAGGCCGGCGAGCGCGGGGTGTGGACACTCGGCTGGGCTGGCCAGACACAATGATACCCCTCACGTTTCCAGGCTGTCTTTCAGCCAGGCGGAGCTGGCCCCAGGTGTGGAGCAGACTAGGGCAGATCCGGTTACGGCGGCCGGGGAGTCCAGCGCTGGGTGCCCAGCTAGGGGAACCACAACTGGGGTGGGGGCTGGGGCGCAGGCTGCTGGCTGCTGGGAACTGAGAGAGGCCCCAAGGAGGTTTCTGGGCCCTGGATGGCACGGGAGGGCTGCTGGGGGACAATGAGGGGATCAGAATGCAAGCACTGCCCTTTCGTCACTAGTACTGGGCTCCCGCTCTGCTCTCCTGCTCTCACCCCTCACCCCTGCTCTGGATCTCTCATAGTCAGGATAAATGTGCCTTTCTCTGCTCGGCCCCAAAGCAGACCATCATGAAGAATTGTGTTGTTACTTTTAACTTAGAAGGCTTTCCTGTTAACGTATTTTCCTTTTCATCCAGATGGTAACACACATTGATCAAATGCTTTCTCTGTGCCCCAGGCACCTTGCAAAGCACTTGACATGAATTGATTTCACTTACAAATCCTCCTGGCAACCCCGGGAGACAAGCGACCCTAGGAGATGGGCGCTAATAGGCTCCCATTCTACAGATGGGGGAACTGAGGCTCAGAGAGTTTAAATCTCCGAGACATGAGTACAAGTGGCAGGCCTGGGGTGTGAAACCAGACAGACAGGCTCCCAGGGCCAGGCTGCTAGCTCCCACCTGACTTTCTCTAAACATTCTCGAAGAGTTTGCTGGCGTCCTCAGCTCTCAAAGCAGCATCTGACGTATTCCCAGCCAGATGTTTCTTGCCTGTGTGTTTGCATTCATTCATTCATTCGTTCTGTAATCAAGCAAGCCTTCCCTGAGGGCCTGGGGCAGTGCTGGGCACTCCTGTGGGGGAGGAAGCAGGGAAAATAGGGACACCCCCTCCCCAGCATGGATTACAGGAAAGATAAGCCTAAATGAGGTTGTGGGAATTCAGAGAGAACCTTATCTTGCCCAGGTCTTGGATATGGAGAGCATGTTTTCTCTTCATCTTGCATGAGAAAAGATGGCATCCCAGAGGAAGGGTCTTGGGGTGAGGGGTCTGGGAGACACCTCAGCCTGGCGCCTGCACACAGTACGTCCTCAGCCAGCGGTGTTCTTTAGGTGTTGGCTGTGCTTACTGCTCTTCACTCAATGGGTACTTACTGAGCACCTGCTGTGTGCCAGGCTCCCATGGGCTCAGGTGGGATGCATGGGGGTGGGGGTGTGTGTGTGGGGGGACACTATAATCCTTGCTTCAGGGCCTTCCCGGTTGAGGGGGACAAGGTAGATGCAGACCAACCAGTTGTTTTCACATGTAAATTGGTAGTACCACTCCCTGCCGCCCCCGCCCCCAGCCCCCAATGCCTATCAGAATCCCCCCAAAAGACTTGAGAGTCGATTGAAAAGCAGAGAAGGCCATTGCTTTCGGGAAGAAAATAACCTCCTTCATCTCAGCTGGTGTCGGAAGCGGGCACAGCAGTTGCAATGATTTTGCCCCTGAAGGGCCAGCCCCGGGGCACGGGGCAGCTCAGGGGCAACAAAGCCTGGCATCTGTCCCTCGTTCTACAGGGCCTGTGCACCTGCTGGTCGTTCTGCCTAGGACGCCTTTCCCTGGGAAAGCTGTCCCCTCCTCATCCTTCCAGGACTCAGCTCAGAGCGTCTCCTCCAGGAGATCCCCTTCCCATCTCCCCCCTCCCCGCTCCCCCCACCTCACCCTGTTGACTTAGCCCTGTCTTTATCACCAGCCAAGATGATGTAGGTCACACCCTCAGCGGTGGACACGGGCGGCCAGCACTGCTCTGGCTGCCCCCACAGGTCCCTGTGTTAGCTTTCCCCCCACCATGATGCCCATCCGCGTCTTTCCTCCCTGACCCTCCTGTGTTCCCTGTGCTGCCCGGCTCCAGCTGCTGAGAGCACCACCTCCTTCCCTGAGAGCATCGGGGGACAGCACTGCCACCCCTCCTGCCCCCAAATCCTACTGAAGCTTGCTGCTTTGTCTCCTGGGCCAAACGCCAGCTTTGTCATGGAGGCGGCCTCACCACGGTACCCTCCCGCCCAGCACGGTGCTTGGCACCGGGATGGGCCACACAATTTGCAGGGCCCGGTGCAAAAGGAAAGCAGGGGCCCTCTGTTCACAGATCCCGAAGAATGGCAATGCCGAAGCAGCAGAACAGAAAGCCAAGCGTGAGGCCCTTCTGAGCGTGCAGGCCTGGGCGTCTAGGCAGGTTGCACGCCCACGAAGCCCGCCCTGCCTGCCACCCAGGAAGGACTTCGCAAACTTCTGTTGAAGGAAGGAGTTCATGGATCAAGGGCAGCTGGAGGGGGCTTTCAAAGTGCCTCGACTGACAGGTGGGCAGAGGCCCAGCCCTGGGCCTGGGGGCTCAGGACCTGTTCCATCTGGAAGCCGGGGGCCTCAGTAACAGGGCCGGAGAGAGTGATAGGAATGGCTCTGATCTGCACCTTGCAGCTCTCTCCTCCTTGCCTGGCCTCTGGCCTCACATATCCACCCACGTGGCCCCTCAGGCTGCCATCTTGTCCAAAAGCCCCCAGAGGGCAGCATGGCAGAACCCTCTCTGCTCCAGAAAACTCTAGAATACCAGGTTTATCTTTTCCAATCCTGGAGCTTTCTCCTGTCCCCATGTGAGGCTGAGCCAGACTGCCCCCGCCAACCCTTGTCTCCCAAACTCAGCCCTTCACCTTTTATCCGAAACGTCCTGTGGTGCCCCTCCATCTAGCCCGATGATCTGGGAACCCCTAGTTTGTGGATTTGCCTCTTCTGGGCAGCCCCAGCAGGGGAAGAAGGCAAGGTTGAATCCCCTCCAACAGTGAGGGCAGTTGAAGTAAATAAAACAAATGCGCGCAGGGGTGAGGAGGGGAGGCGACGTTCTCTCTGCTGGTCAGGGAGGAAGTGGCACCCGAGCGGCACCGGGAGGTGGAGGGTTGGCCATCGGAGCTAGGCACAGCCGGGGGTGGGAGGGATTAAACGGAAGGGAGAGAATTCCAGGCAGAAGGAATGGCAAGTGCAAAGGCAAGCCAGCCGTAAGTTCCGGGAGGCGCGGAGGGGTCCGCCTGGCTGGAGTAAATGGGGAGGTGGTGGAGCAGAGGGACGAGAGGGACTTGGGGTCACCTCCTCCGGGAAGCCTTCTCCGATTGCTGCGCTGCCTCCGCACTCCCCCAGCTTCTTCCACTTCAGCCCGAAACGAATCGCACGGGTCCCGCTCAGGCCTCCTCCCTGTCCCGACTTCGAGTCCCGAGAGGGCAGGGCCGGCTCGGATTCCTCCCTCCGCATCCCCGCGGCGCTCGGCCGGGCGCTGGGCACCGCGTGGGCACTCGGTAAATATTTGTAGAGCGCACTAGAAGGAATGAATGAACCCATTGGGCGCAGCTGGGGGGAGGGCGGGGCCGAGGGCAGGTGGGAGGCCGCGGGCGCGGGAGGGGCCCCTGGAAGCCCGTCCTACTCCTCCTCCTCCCAGGCCCCAGCGCGTACCAGTCTGAGGCTCCCGAGGCGGCCTCTCGTGCGATCAAGGGCGCGCACGGCTGGGAGAGCGACGCGCGGCCCCTGCTCTCCGCGCCGGAGTTCGGAAGAGAGTGGGTCGCCGCCGCCCGAGCGGAGCGGGAGAAAGGAGCGCTCGCTCGCCCGCCGCCTCGCTGCCTCCCCGGCGCTCGCTCTCCCGGCTCCTAGGTTTGCTGGCTGCTCCTCCCACCCGCGCCCGCCTCCTTGCTCGCTCGCTCGCTCGCTCGCTCGCTCCAGCCGGTTTCCAAGCCGCGCGGTGCGCCCGGGCGAGTGCCGGGCGAGGGGCCCCCAGGGCTAGCGCCGAGCAGGGGGCGGGGGTCCGGGCAGAGCGCAGCCGGCCGGGGAGGGGCCATGTCTGGCGCGGGCGCAGCGGGGCCCGTCTGCAGCAAGTGACCGAGCGGCGTGGACGGCCGCCTGCCCCCCTCCGCCACCTGGGGCGGCGCGGGGCCCCCGGTGCCGGGTGCCCGGAGCCCGGGTCGCGCGTAGAGCCGGCGCGATGCACGTGCGCTCGCTGCGCGCCGCGGCGCCGCACAGCTTCGTGGCGCTCTGGGCGCCCCTGCTCCTGCTGCGCTCCGCCCTGGCCGACTTCAGCCTGGACAACGAGGTGCACTCGAGCTTCATCCACCGGCGCCTCCGCAGCCAGGAGCGGCGGGAGATGCAGCGCGAGATCCTCTCTATCTTGGGCTTGCCCCATCGCCCGCGCCCCCACCTCCAGGGCAAGCACAACTCGGCGCCCATGTTCATGCTGGACCTGTACAATGCCATGGCGGTGGAGGAGGGCGGCGGGCCCGACGGCCAGGGCTTCTCCTACCCCTACAAGGCCGTCTTCAGTACCCAGGGCCCCCCTCTGGCCAGCCTGCAAGATAGCCACTTCCTCACCGACGCCGACATGGTCATGAGCTTCGTCAACCTCGGTGAGTGAGGGCAGGAGGGAGGGGTTGGGGGGGGGAAGCGTCTAGGTCAGGAGGCGCTTTGGGACTGGGAGGGGGCCACTTCTTACATCCAGTCCGCCCATCTTTACACTCCGGGCCGTTTGCAAAACCACAGTGCCTGGCCGAGGGTCTCCTACTCCCGGCCCCAGGGGACCCCAAGCTGTGCGCGCCCCAGGTAGGGCGAACCGGGCTCATTTGGCCTGTGGGAGTTAGGCGGAGGAAAGGGCTGGTCCGAAGCCCCCTCCGGGTTAAGTCGGCGGCCGCACCTCTGGGGCTGGAGGCGCCGGGCCGGCCGCGGCTCAGTTCAAAGCGCGGGGCTGGGTCATGTGAGCTGCGCCGGGCCCGCGCGGCCCCTGCTACCTGGATTTAAAGGGCCCTGCTGGGCGAAGCCGCCTTCCCGCCCTTTCGGGGCCCCCTCAGCCCTGTCTGGACCTGGCATCGCAGGCGTCGCGCCCCCTTCCCCGCCCTGGCCAGCCCTACCTGTCCCCTCGCGGTGCGCCCGCCTTAGCGTGCCGCGCGCCGCCAGTGTCTGCGGGCCCCTCTCCTTGCGACCCGGCACCGCCCCCCCCCCCCGCCCCGCCCCGGCTCTCAGCTCTCCCGGCGGGAGCTGGGGAAGAAACGGTGCCATTGCGAGCTTTCTATTTTAAAT